TTCTCACATTTTTAACCAATTTCATTTTCACTCACACAACTGGTTCTCTGTCAAATATTTAAAGTGTCACAAGCCAGCACTTCTGTCCCGTGTAGGCGCTTTCTTTCTGTATCATTGAGAATACAAGCAGATTTGAAACTACCAGTATACCTGGAGGCTACGTAATAACATAATGTAATTTGAAGATATGGAAGGTATTTCTTCATCACAGAACGGCATTTTGTGAAGCAGAGCAGGCGAGGTACCGAGCTTGTCAAGATGTCCCATGTAACATTTGCATGAGGCCTACCTGGTATCATGGCTATTTTGTCTTCATGGAGGGTGGGTTTTGCTCATCCATGCCAGGTAATACGCAGCAGCTGCTACCACCTACATATGGGAATTCATTCAACTCGGATCAATTACTGTCAGTTTGGAGGGAAGGGTAGCCTTCCTCGTAGCAGGGAAAGGCTCAGAGCTGACATTTCATAGGAAGGAACTGAAAACTTAGCACACAGAGCTAAAAGACTTCTGTTTCATACCCCTCCGGGCAGTTAAAAGTTCACCGCCAGTGTCCTGGACGGAGCTGCTGAGGTCCTTGAGCAGCCAACGTGGAAAAGCACCACAGGCAGGTTATTTTCCTGACCTTAACCTCCCAAAAGCATGTATCACCGCCTTCATTTTCCTACTGTAGCTAAAACATGAAATAAGTAAAGCTTATTTGCCATAGCCCCTGGAAACATATAGCTCAACTGTACCGCCATCACAGGAAAATTAAAATGCCTGTCCCTGCCGCCGTGCTCAGCTACGTACACAGCACCTCCACACCACCGCGGGCCCTGAGGGAGGCCAGATCCCTCATCCCAGCTGGGCTGCTGCTCCCCACCACAACCTTAGAATCATAGAATTATAGAATGTTTTGGGTTGGAAGGGACCCCTAGAGGTCACCCAGCCCAACCCCCCTGCAGGAGCAGGGACACCTTGAACCACATCAGGTTGCTCACAGCCCCGGCCAACCTGGCCTGGAATGTTCCCAGGGATGGGGCCTCCACCCCCTCTCGGGGCAACCCCTGCCAGGGTTTCACCACCCTCACTGGAAAGAATTTCTTCCTTAGATCCAGTCTAAACCTACCCTGCTTCAGTTTAAAACCATCCCCCCCTGTCCCGTCACAGCTGGCCCTACTAAAAAGCTTGTCCCCCCCTTTCCTCTGGGCCCCCTTTAAGCCCTGACCGGCCGCACTCAGCTCTGCCCGCAGCCTTCTCTTCTCCAGGCTGAACACCCCCAACTCTCCCAGCCTGGCCTCAGAGCAGAGGGGCTCCAGCCCTCG